AAAAATACAGACGTTACAGCGGGAGAGAGAAAAAATACTCTAAATGTCGACAGACACCAAAACCCACCCTGTGTTATTGTTGGCTAAAGTAAATGAACAGAATAGAACACAAAAGTGCAAATCATTAAGTTAGTGTAACCCAGATCTGGATTATTTGAAACAAGCCTTTATTTAAACTACTAAGCATGTGGCTGCTCATCAGCTGAGGTGGATAAACCGATCCTCTGTAGGAATAGAAACTCAGGTTAGTGACCTATAATAGACTGAACTCTGAGCGAAAGCCACTAACCTGGTTCTGAGTTCAGTTCGATCCCAGAGGAAGGAGATTAATCTGAAAGGGAAATTTGCCCACAGCTTGAGGCGGGCGCCACCCGCCGAGTTCTGTTCAGAGCAGCAACAGTGTTGGTGAGGGAATATCCATTGCTGGAGTTGAAGCAGAACCAGGATTACAGACCAGAAGATCAGAGAGGCGAGGATGTACCAGAGGAGAATCCAAGCAGAGGTCATAAGCACACTCCAAGTACGGTTAACCTGTAGAATACAGGAAGCAGTCCAGAACAAACAAGACTAAAAGAGAGGACAGGGGCTAAGCAAAACTTGGGAATCCAAAGGCAGAAACAGGTTAGAATCAGAAACTTAGAACAATATTAAGAATGCTTGAGTTACTCTCACCAAACAGCTCGAATAATCTGGCGCCAATGGAAGGCAATCAGGCAGAATAAATAGCAGCAGGAACCAGCTGGAAAAGATTAGCTTAATGAACAACCTGGCCAAATAGACAGGTGATAGGAGTAAATGAAAATGCCAACTATCAACACCAAGACCATGACTCAATCACAGTGATCAATCCAGGAGGTGGAATGCCAAACTTCACTAATATAGGTAAAGATACTATTTGACAGGAGAACATTGCTTGACGAAATTAAGATGCTTTCTGTACAAAATTGACAGACGAGCTCTGAGCCAGCTCCCATGTCAGAGGACGAAGAGAGCACATCCAGTTAGTCACAGCCAGAGAAACAGGACTACACTGAAAAACAGGCCAATCTCCAACATCTATAAACAAAGGTGTTAATGGCAGCAGCACAGCTGATATTTCTCTCCAGGATGGAGTCACAGCCAAACAGGAACAGACCAGATGAAGCTACTATGAGAAAAAGCAGAAAGAGAGCAGAACGTTAGAGATTGAACTAACAGATTCTGCATTTTGGGAGCATCGGATTTACATGCAAAGACTATCGGGGAAAGTGTCACTATTTTACCACATTT